ATGCAAGATTAGCAAGAAGAAGATATGAAGGCTTGTGTAGAGTTGGATTCTTCCAGATGGAATACAGTATCAAAGAGTTCAGAGATACGGCAGTTAGTGATGTAACTGCATATAACGCGGATAGAGTTATCCGAAACGATGGCAACTGAAGGAAGGCGTTGTATCGGAAAGAAAAACACGTATTATTCATCTTTTGACCAGCTTCTCTTATCAAACCTGAAGCGTTTGAAGCTCGGCAGTCTTATTTCTGCGCTACTTCTAAAGTCTCATTCAATAAACCGAATCCACATATAGCGACCAATTTGAACAACTAATTTTCTGCAATATCTAGCGACTGACTAGCGTCTCATGCATGTGAAAGCTCTTTTGTTTCCAAGCGAACACGAAGCTAGTCAGTCGCTAATCAGTCCAGAACAATAGTTATTCAAATTGGTCGCCATATTTCGATTCCGTTTATACCTAATAGCTTTTTTGGTCTTTCATTCTTTCATCTGTCACACGAATTAGTTAGCTAGCTTCTCTTGCTTTCACAGTGTGCTTTCATAAATAGCACGTTAAACTGAACGGGTTTTCGATGTAGAGAATAGGTGTTTAATAGTTAAATCTAATTTCAAAAACAAAACAAAACGAAAACTAATCAAGTATTATTCCGTTATGAGATGTGAGTATCGCTATTAAAGTAAATTATTACCTTCTGTCACCGAGCAATTCAGAAGTTATCGAAAAATTAATAATCTGAATAGAAAACTCAAATAAATATTTTGGGCTCCAAGCAGAAGGAATTAAATTCTAGTCGGCCTTCACTTTACGCCAAGCAGGGTTGAGAATCAATAGATCCCAGAGACGTATTTGCGCAGAGTATAATTCACCTCTTCACAAAGGCTTGGAGGAAAAGAAGATATACACTTACTTCAATAAAGTTAGTCACCTGAAAAGCTATAAAGCTGAGGCCGACAAGGATTATGGGTAGATTCATTTTACACGTTCAACCGCTTAATAACTGTTCATGGACTTGCGAATCTTTTACCGGTTACAGTCTCACCTCTTCAGAGCATCATCGAGCTGAAGTTTGTATTAAAAAAGCTTTGTATATATATTCTTTTTTTATATAAAAAGTTTCTCATGATGCTCAGTGATCTCAGCTTTCTAGGTTTTTGGTGACTAACTTTATTGAAATAAGTATATATGTTAATTACTGGCCAGGCGGCTTGAAAACACATATCAGGGTTGAGGCCGTTAAGTCTGTGTAATAGAGGGAACAGTTATTTTTTCATACAGACGACTAACTTTAAGACTGTAAATAACTAATTTATTTTTCCCTTTTCCTTTCAAGCTAGTTTAGCAGGATACCGGACCGCTTGCAAGTACTGAGAAAACACCGCCCGCCCAAACAGCCAATCATAACACACGAGTTTTGTTATACCGGACCGAAAAAAAACGTAATTAAGTTCAGTTACGTTGTAACAATTCATCAAGAGAATATGAAGTAAGAGAGCATATCCCTGTGACCCATGAAAGTTTCTTGAAAATCTATTTTTAGCTCCGCGYGCTAGTCTGAGCTATTTTAGCATGCGAATCTTGATTGGTCAGATTGTAGTGATGTCATAGGTACAGAAGAGATCGGCAGTGACAAAGCAAGCTTCACGCAGTTGACAAACCAAACCAAACTTTATTCAATTTGACGAGAAAATGTGTTTAGAGGAATTCCCTGAGAAATTCTGAAAGGTATTTGAAGGAAAATACTCAGCTGAGACAACATCATTCAAGCTTGTTTTTAAATTAAAACAATGGTCGCTCGATTGAGACTCAATCATTTTGGAGTTGATTGCAGTTATAGATGAGACTGTAAGTTATTCCACAATTCTCCACCTAAACTGAAATACAGTTAATATTGCTGCATCCCAAGAACACGTACTTCTGACCTGAACTTCAGTGTTTTCAAAATGACAAGTTATCTAATGGACATCTAAAATGAAGGTAGATTGGACTCGTTTACAAAAGAGCCGGATTTTCGATGAACTTGTTGAATTCACTGAGTCAAGAGTTTAAAAAACTTTAAACTTGAGATAAATTTAGCATTTACTGTTGGAATCAGTTGTTTAGCAGTAAAAAGAAGAGGTTTTAAGATAGCTGAAAACAGTCAAGCTGCTCGGAATAGAAGAATTAAACATAAAGGCACAAATACGCCGAACTGAGAGCATTTGGCAGAAAAAAACGCAAGTAAATGCCCTTCAATCAGGTAAAAATAATCTCTTTTTTATTAGTTTGAATCCTCAAATGCTAAGTTTGATTCACTTCTTTGTACTTCGCCGATATTGTGATTGTATTTCTATTGTCTGTTTGGGACTTTAGAAGTTGAAAAGTTATGAAAAAATACCTGAACATTGAGGCGGAGCGAAAATTCATGGTGCAAAATTTGAAAGAAAGTTCTAGTTTTGATAGTCAAAGTTTTTCATTAATTCACCTTTTCTCAATGGGCAATGTCTTTTGCATAAACTGACACACCGTATTTTGGCAAGCTAAGCATATTTAATAATTGTGAAAAATCACTTCAGTGCCTCTTGTAGTTTTTTCCTCTGTGAAAACAGAAAATTTTCTTCGGCACATTTGGGTGCAAATAGTTTTTCTGATTCGTGTGTGAAACAAAATACTGGTCTTGTTCATCGTCTTCTTAATTACTTTAACTTAAACTTTATTTACTATAGAAAACACCACGGTAAATGCTTCAAGTTTGGCTGTATTCACTGTAGGTTTTTCGCTATTTTCATCGTTTTTTTTTTTGCGGTTTCCTTCCACATGGCGTCTTCGCTGTTTTTAGCGCTTGTTCGTATGTGACTGAAAACCATCCTGATTTGATCTTTTTCGGTGTTCTTTTACACCACTTGTTAAGTTAATGTTTAATTCGTCCATGAAGAACACATGATACTTTAATCATTTCAACTTTTTACTAATTTTGAAGGCATTCTTCTCGTCGGGAAGTAAACATTTTTCGCTCGCATGGAAGTCACTACAACTCTGAGCAGCAATAAGGGATCGCGTGTTAAAAATAGCTCAGGCTTGCGTGCGCTGCTAAAAATAGATTTTCAAGAAACTTTCATGGTTACAGACCCATGTATGGGAGATGTGCTCTCTTACTTAATATTCTCTTGCAATTCATGCATTAGATTTGGTGCACTTCAAGATCGCCGTCCGTCTGAATCTTCCTCGACTTGAACCAAGTGGTTTTCTCTTCTCAAGATTCTTTTGACTGTACCTTTTATAGCTTGACAAATATGCACCGCAAGTACAGCAGAGGATTCACTGTGGAGTTGATTGCTACAATCAGGAATAAAGATATTGGCGGAGAGTATATATAAGAACCGCGCAAAAGTATGGTAGATACCACAGCAAGGTCGTCAACGTGACAATGATCATGGTATTCATAGATCTGCGATATTGCGAGACATCAATTTCTGAGTTTCCATTGTCTTCTTGGAACATACATTCTCTAGATATCCAACCAGATTCACTTTTTTGGGCAAACGTAGAAACAAATCTGTAAATTTGTTTGTGCACTGAATTCGGACGAATCCTCTGTAATTCTACCATTTTTGTTATTACGTTGCTCTGTTTCATAAAACATCCCTTATATGTTTCCTATCTTTATTTGAATCATTTTTCAGCTTTCAAATTGAAGCCAAACTGACATTTAAAAAAAGTTATTATTATTTTATTTCTTTTTGTAATTTATTCTCTTTTTCACTGCAGACTGGAGACAAACGAGCTACTATGTTGCCCCCATTAATGTTACACTTACAAACACTTCCGACCCCCTCAAAGCCAGATGGACTGCTTATTATCCCATTAGTTCTCCATCATCTTACTCCTAACTACATATTGCTTTCTTTGGAGTTGGAGCCATTTCTGCTCCCGTCATGTCATCAACGGACTCCAGCGTCCCTTCATGCAGCAGCATGTTTTCACACAACATTTACAAGGCAGTCTTCAGGTCAAAAGTAAGATGATGCCTCACAAATAACATACACCTATTTCAAAAAAACGTTGTCATCGCGAAAGGCAAAAGGCGAAAGCAATAGGAGATTTCTATCATTTTTGTTTACAAAAACCTGTTATACGGGAATTTTCCTACACAAAAATGTTCAAAAAAGTTAAACAGATTAATATGGGATTGGATAGGTCATACGGAGATGGAAATGGTTTCTTTGAACTATACAAAGAACATTGAATTAGTCTTACAATGGGGTCCATGTTCTTGGGGAGAATAAGAAGCAGAAACACAAGTCACTCCAGCTATTCTTAGATTTGTGAATGGCCTATCTCCTATTTCCTTTGGCGATAACAACCTTTTTTGACGTTGTCATCACCAAAGGCCAAAGGCGATAGGCGAAAGGCGATAGGCGATAGACGAAAAGCAATAGGAGATAGGTCATTCCAGGATCCAAGAATAGCTGGAATGACTTGTGTTCCTGCTTCTTATTCTCGTCAAGAACATGGACCTTAGTGTTGAGACTGATTCAATGTTGTTTGTAGTCGACAAAACTATTTCCATATCGGAATGACCTATTTCCTATCGCCTTTGGCGATGACAACGTTTATTGAAATAGGCGCATAATTCGTTTTCCTACAAAGTTAAGATTCATGCTGATTATATCTGATTACTTGCATTTAGGCTAGCAGTCGTGAATTGCTTTTGGGTGATTCAAGTGTCTGTATTAGTAGTTGGTACCCTGGCTACCCTGATGGGACTGACCGTGGCCGACTCGGTGTACTCCCTCTTCGCGCTGTGCAGTGACCTAGTCTACGTGGTTCTCTTCCCTCAACTATGCTGTGTCACCTATGTGCCGCATACAAATACCTACGGATCATTAGCTGGTTACGTCTTGGGTCTCGTTCTCCGGGTTCTTGAAGGAGAACCGGTGATCGGCTTGCAACCTACCATCAAGTACCCATACTACCCTGATGTACATGATCAGATGTTCCCATTCCGTACCCTCCTTGCCATGGCTTGTTCTTTCGTCGACATTGTGGTGGTGTCTTACCTGATGAGGTACCTGTTCAAGAAGGAAATTCTTCCCATGTCGATGGATTTCCCTCACTGCTTCCGAGATTACGACCTTAAGCATCACGAAAAGCCAAAAAAATGTTAGTACTGAAATAATATTAGACGAAAAAGCTCCAGAAGGCGAGCTTGAATAGCCAGAGATGGCATTTTCTAATGCGGGTGGAAGTTTTGAGAAACTTCCCGAAATGTGAAACCAATATATGCAGCAGTGGTTCCACGTAGAGGTTTGAATTGATCACCTCCAGAAATGGAGGAAATGTATGAAAAATTCGTCCAACTTCTACCCGGAACCATTGATTGTCATCACCATAATCAATTTGAGAATTGGCAATCGATTTTCGTGCGTTGTAGGCAGCCAAAACAAAGTTTAAAATTTTAATTAAAAAATCGTATTTTACAGCATTAGTTTCTATAACGGCATATTACATGCAGGCTGCTAATATATAGGACGTGGTTTTCAACTACCCTGATATAGTACTAGTTACTGTGATGTACAATTGTTATTGCTATGATGCCAATCAGCGATCGAGTCGATGATGAAGGCTATCTTTGCGCATGTAAGCTTAGATAAATTAAATTTATCTGATCTCTTTTTTAAGTTATATATATATACATATAATTTTTTTTTGTTCCTAAGTAAAGTGAAGGAACCCAAAAGTTGAGAGATTCAGATTTTCACCTACTTTGTTAATTCTGCTCAATATTTTCATCCACTTTCAATCCAAGGATCTTTCTCAAGGTAGTTTTCATTGCCTTTCTAAGATCCCTAATGCGCCAGATATACATCAAAGGATTGATTGTAGAACTGATCGCCACAATAAGCTCACTAGTCATCAACAATTTATAAACTAACATAGATGTAGGATTTTCATCAAACTTTTCAACGCCCTTAACGACAAGAATAGCAGCTGCACAGAAAAAAGGAAGAAAAAGTGAAATAACATTGCAGAATAAAAGCAACATTGTTTTCAAGGATTTTTGGTACTTCGAACGATTAAAATTACTATCTGTTCTGTCTTCGGTCTTGTCAGTCGATGCAACTGAATTGGACAGCTTTTTCAAGTAGTAAAACGACATGGAATATGATACACTCAGCACTATAAGGAGAACGAAGACGCCTGTTGCAATTGCAATGACTAGGGTCCTGATAGATGCGTGAAAGACAAACACCGACAATACAGCAGTAAACACCATGATCCACCAGGGAAGAAGAACAGCTTTCACTCGCTTCATGGTAACCACACTTCGATATCTGTTTTTTAGTCGGATTGCTAACAAACGATCGACGCTGATAACTGTTAACGTGTAAAGTGACACGGAACCCAGCCAATATGCAACTACTCGAGCCGCTAACGAGCAAACACAGAACACATTGGACCAACCTTGGATTGCTGCTATATTTGTGACCAAAATTAACGGTTCTGCCACACTGCCTGCCAATAAATCTACGAGAGCAAGAWTTGCTATAAGCAAAAATGAAGGTTTGTACAAAGATTCGGTCTTCCAGATGGAGATCAGCACCAATATATTCAATAACGTAGCAGTAAAAGATGTCAACGAGTAAAGAACAGAAATTGTTGTACGAAAAGTGGGAAGTCTTAAAGTCAGTGTGTTGAAATAACATCCTCCATTCATTTTTAGTGTTAAGATTCTAAAAGAATGCGTTACACTATTTTCAGTGTTTTATACTACTACGACACTTTCTCATACGATGTAGGATTAAACAGTTCGTGCTATGGTCTGGTTCAAAATATGGCTACCAAGAATCAAGCTGTGATTGGATTGAACTTCAGCGATTGAATCACTGTCAAAACCCTGCGCTTGAATACGTACTTTTGACATCAAGCAGCATGCGAATAAACCTTGTTTTTTTGGCTATTATTTTCATCCAATCATAGCTTCTTTCACACAATCTTAAATGAAAGTCAAACAGTTGCTCCATTTGCTTTTTCATTAGTCCAAGTGCGAACAACACCTGCGCGAGCTTGTGACTGAAATGGGCTTTTAAGGACAAAATCTGAAATTAATTCAAGTCATTATGACTTTCGGTCAGCAAATTAAGATAAAGGAGGAATAAAAGATTGCTACTTATTGATACAGTTTTCTTTGAGTACTCGGTTTTTCCTCCGTCGCCCGTAAAAAATCAGCACGTGAGTTGAGCGTTGTAAATAGTGAACTCAAAGGTACTGCGTGTAGAGTGAACTTGACCTCATGGAAGAGTCTGAACGGTCCATATGAGCAAGGAATCTAGGGTTTTTTGATACCTCGCAAGTTTACGCACACTAATGTTCATCTTCCTCGTTTTAAGCAAAGTTATGTTGTCTTTTCAATGATTCTTTTGACTTTAGTTTTGGCTGCTTGACGAATAACTTGCATGAGAACAAAACAGAATATGATTGGAAAATCTCTATTAAATGCCTATTAGTAAAGAAACAAAAAATAAATTTGACAGACCATTTCGAGCGAAAACTGTATCGGAAAGGCTTCCTGAACGTGCCACAAGTCATAGGTATGTTTGAGTCGCAATTGACAGCTGAAATTACATAAATCGAGTTGAAGTCTATGTCGAATGTGATGACTTCATATCGATTTTGGGACTTCATTTTACAGAAAGTCACTTTTGAAGGGGTCCGAAGCAATTTTATTTTACACAGAAATATATTTTTTTAATAACGAATATGCTAATATCAAAGGCACAACTACAGTTCCATTAACATCTTCTTTTTCTCTGGCTTTGGTCAGTTTGACGTCTGTTCAACTCCTCAATTCAAATCAAGCAATCAGCACAGCGTGCTTAATTTCGAGTAATATGATTGGTTGCGCGGTACTGTCTAAAAATAGTTCACTGCCATCCACCAGATTCACCAGATAGACACTATACTACTATAGTATTGAAAAATAAGAAATAAGACAGCAGGGAAATTAACAGGTGAACAAAAACATTCAATAGTTGTTTTTCAACTGAAAACTATATATTAAGACAAATTACTTTTTTTTTCTACTAACATAACTTTTTTTAAAAAATATCTTAAGTCTTAAAAGATATTCTGTGTCTTCCTCTATGGCTTGTGTTTACTATCAGACATTTTTGAAACAGTTTTTGCAATTTCACTCTATATAAAAAGCACTTGTAAAACTCGAATTTATCAACATTCTCCTGATATTTTGAGAAATGTTTAGCAATTATTAGCCGAAGGAGAAGTGAATATCGGCAAATACAATATTTACCGAGCCGCTGAGTCTTTACCTATACGGCGACTGTTTTTTGAACTTTTCTCGTGTTTCTCCCAACATCTTGCGTGCTTTATTTCACCGGTAGTATAGAGAGTCATAGGAACTTTGCTTCTGATCTATTGCTTCAATAATATCTACGATTGCTCATCATTAGGGATACTGGATAGGTTCTGTATCTCTAGCTGTACTGTTTGGTTCTTATTAGTGTTGATCGATTGTTGGCCATATATTACGGACGAAGAATAAACAGATATCGATCGTTTGTGACATCTAGACGTATCTGGTTGGTGACTGTCCCTTACTGGGTGGGGATGCTTTTGCGCTGATGTTAACTTTACTAATTAACACATGCCTTCCTCCAACCGTAATCGTTTGTTATACCATGGCGTTCTACTCGCTGAAGAAGCTCACGTCTTCAATATCATCATCGTCCAGTCAGCATCATCGTCCATCACCATGATCATCATCATCATCAACATCATCATCATCAACATCATCATCATCAATATCATCATTATCATCATCATTATCATCATCATCGTCGTCAATAACATCATCATCGTCATCATCATCAAA